TTCAAGACGTTTGCCGTTGCCTGCTTGATACCCATCCCCCCCTCCCCCTTCAAATTATTATCTTCCCTCGTGGTCATCAGTAAGCTCTTCCTGGCTTCGGTCGCTGCTCATCTGATGACATGTGAAAAGCTTACAAACTTCTAGGTGGGCACTCTGCTCGCCATCCAAAAGACACAACCCCGCCAATACAACCACCATGGCTACTTCCGAGGCCATCCTCCAGGGCGTTAACGTCTCTGGCACCATCCAAGACGCCCAGCGCAAGATCCTCACCCCTGAGGCGCTGACCTTCCTCGCGTTGCTGCACCGCTCCTTCAACCCTACTCGCAAGGCCCTGCTCGAGCGCCGTAAGATTCGTCAGGCCGAGATCGACCGAGGTAGTCTGCCCGACTTCCTTCCCGAGACCAAGCACATCCGCGAGAACCCGACATGGAAGGGTGCGCCCCCGGCTCCCGGCCTCGTTGACCGCCGCGTGGAGATCACGGGCCCCACCGACCGCAAGATGGTCGTCAACGCTCTCAATGCCGACGTCTTCACCTACATGGCCGACTTTGAGGACTCCTCCGCCCCCACCTGGGACGCCATGGTCAACGGCCAGGTCAACCTCTACGACGCCAACCGCCGCCAGGTCGACTTCAAGCAAGGACCCAAGGAGTACAAACTCCGCACCGACCGCACCCTGCCCACCCTCATCGTTCGCCCTCGTGGCTGGCACCTCGAGGAGAAGCACGTCTCCGTTGACGGCGAGCCCATGTCCGCCTCCCTCTTTGACTTTGGTCTCTACTTCTTCCACAATGCCCGTCAGACTCTCGACATTGGCATTGGCCCCTACTTCTACCTCCCCAAGATGGAGTCCCACCTCGAGGCTCGCCTCTGGAACGATGCCTTCAACCTCGCCCAGGACTACCTCCACATCCCCCGCGGCACCGTCCGGGCCACTGTCCTCATCGAGACCATCCTCGCTGCGTTTGAGATGGACGAGATCATTTACGAGCTGCGCGATCACTCTGCCGGCCTCAACTGCGGTCGTTGGGACTACATCTTCAGCGTCATCAAGAAGTTCCGCTCCAACCCCAACTTTGTCCTGCCCGACGGTAGCGCCGTCACCATGACCAGTCCCTTCATGGATGCTTATGTCAAGCTGCTCATCCAGACCTGCCACCGCCGTGGCGTCCATGCCATGGGCGGCATGGCTGCTCAGATCCCTATCAAGGATGACAAGGCTGCCAACGACCGCGCTATGGACGGTGTCCGCGCCGATAAGCTCCGTGAGGTTCGTGCTGGTCATGATGGCACGTGGGTTGCCCACCCCGCCCTGGCTTCCATCGCCGTCGATGTCTTCAACAAGCACATGCCCACTCCCAACCAGCTCTTTGTTCGCCGTGAGGACGTCCGTGTGGGCGCCCAGGACCTCCTCAACATGAACGTCCCAGGGAGCATCACTGCCGACGGTATCCGCAAGAACCTGCTGATTGGTCTTGGATACATGGAGGCCTGGCTCCGTGGTGTCGGCTGCGTGCCCATCAACTTCCTCATGGAGGATGCCGCCACCGCCGAGGTGTCCCGCAGCCAGCTCTGGCAGTGGGTGCGCCACGGTGTCAAGACGGATGATGGCACCACCGTTGACAAAGGTTACGCGCTCAAGGCCTGGCGA